CCAGGTTTGTTCCCAAGCCGTTTTTTATCTCCACTCTCGCACTTTCCTGAAGGTACCAAAATAAGACTCCAGATTTCTGCCTACCCCATCTTGTCCAATAATTAATTTATTTGTTTAAAAATAAATGCTGAAAATGTTGATTTAAAAAAAAATTAAAAGGACTTTGGAGACATTCATATATAGGCTGAAAGTGTTGACATTTAAATGGCCCTGGGCAGGCTCTGTCGGGGTAATATTTCTTCATCCAAATCAACCTGGGGACAGGCATATAGGTGTGTTCTGGATAAATGAGATCCACACTTACCGACAAACTGGTAACGTAATGTTTGTGTTGTGGAGACCCATATTTAACCATTTCTGGGTGACTTTGGATCAATTAGTGAACTTTCTTTACAAGACAAGATTGTTTGTTTGGAGGGAAATATAAGAGGGGCATCTATGTGCACATTGCTTTGAGCACCTGAATAAAATAAATCTTTATAAAATAGATTAAGCATATCAGGAATATTGTAGCAATAGCATTATCTTGATTTATTGTTTACGTAGAGTATTAGCACTTAGGAAAGGAGACTTAAAGAGCCAAACTTAAAGTAGGCTTTTATTTATTATATTTCAACCCACGATGTTGTTATCCATCATTTAAAAACATTTTAGAGGCTTGGAGTGTTTGTGAGATGAATGCAGCATTTCTGCCAGTTTCAGTTTAGCATCCACTACATTCATCAAAACATTGTGCAAATTATAATAATTAGTGCAAGCAAACAGGTCAATTAAGTATATCTCTGGCTCCCAATATCTTTTCCATTTGACCTTCTTTCTGAAAAAGATCACTGTAGAAACCCATCCATAATCCTGTTTGTGCCTGTCTTTCTTCGTGATGCATATGGTGCGTTCTTTCAGACATCTGTCATTTAACAAAATAACCTGTCTCGCTGTTTTGTAGAAGCTGGAGCTGGATCGTTTTATGCTTTATGCTCATGGACCTGATTTATGCAGAGAATCAGACCTGCGGCATGCAATGGCCAACTGCTTTGAAGCCTTGATAGGTAAGAAAATGATGCTGTGGCTTCTATGTATTGTAAGTTTGCTCTCTGTCAGCCTTCATCGTACAGCTGTGGTGGCGCAGTGAATGCGGCGTTGCAGGCTAATTCTCCTGACTGCCAGCAGTTCGATCCTGACCNGAGCGTCATTAATGTGAAGAAGAAAGGTTTTATGTTTTGTCTCTGTGCCGGATTTATACCTCTCGATCCAAGGGTGTAAATAGGAAGTTGTTCAGGTGGTTGTGTTTCATCTTTCCCCATATTTAGGATTCATTTTGCGTTCTGAGCATGCAGCGATAGCAAAAGGAGATATTTCGGAGGAGCTGGGTCCGCGCCCCCCTTTGTTAGCTGCTCTTATACAGTTGCTTCAGTCCAGCTGTGGGAGGGTTTGGTTATCTTTCTGGATTTCAAAAGAATACTAGAATCATTCTTGTCATTTTTTTGCTTTACTTGCTGGTCTACTCAAAATTGATTTATCCTCCAAGTGCAGCTCACATTTAGCTCTGTGTTAGGTGGGGAGACTTAGTTTCCTGTGATTTGTGCCTACAAAGTTCCAGAACGACATGAAATGAAAACTCAGTGAGAGGGGAAGGATAATCGGATTATTTCTATGCCCGTACTGATAAAAGATGGGAAGAAGCCCTTTTCCAGCCTGATTCCTGGAGATAATTTAGGTCAGTGATGTCGCCGCGTGCCAAAACGGCACATGTGCATGTCTACATCCATACTGCAATGAATGTGTGATACCCCCCCACCCACCTGTGCATGTGTGTGCAATCCCCCCATGCTCCCCCCGTGCATGCGTGCACCTCTTGTATCCCATTTTGGGTCTACCAGGCCTCCCTGAAAACTCCTGGTACTAAAACTGTGGCACGGGGGTGCGCTGCAACTCCCCCCCGCAACCCCCCGCACATGAATGGCAGAGACCCAAAAATCAGCTGGCTAGTGGGAGGTGCCCGCACATGCGTAGTGGAGCTGAAAATGTTCAGGGGGGGAGAAGGTGCTGCTTCTTTAAGTAGTTTATTCATTCTGGTTCACTCTTAAAGTAAACTCTTAAAGTAAAGGCATATTTGGAGGAGTTCAACCAAAATCTCATAAGAATTTGTCTTTATTTAATGCACGGGAGGGGGGTAGTTGATATTAACAAGATTCAAATGATTTTCAGAATATGCACAGCCCTGTTTAGTATTCTAGAGCTGCATGTTTCACTTACATAATCTTTTCCATGAAATATTTTTAGGGAGTGAAACATGAAATACACTGATCTATAGGTAAAGGTAAAGCACATATGTGCT